TCATTACTACTTGCATTACCATGTTCATAATTGCTGTGGATATCATAATTTTGTTATGATTATCACTATAATTATTTTCATCAACATTATTATGTCATTTCTATTATTTTTTCGTAATTCTTTCACTATTATAATTATTGTCATGATCGTCACTTTTTTCTTATCATCATCATTATCTTATCAGCATTCTTACTATCATTATTATTGCTATCTTTATTATGATCGCTATTATCATTATCACTTTTATTAGTACTATCAATATTACCATGATCAACATAATTATTATTACTATTATCAACATCCTCATTCTCATTTCTATTATTATCATCATCCATATCAATATAATTATTATCATACGATTATCACCGCTATCATCATCGGTATCATAAGCACCATCACCTGCTCCACCACAACCGTTATCGTTGTCATCTTATCCGAGGGGGAGAGAAAGGCTTATGGAAGAGCACACTGAGTAATGGCTCTGTACGATAACAGCTTTTTTTCTGCGTGGCTTCACAACAGTCGGTTGAGGAGCCGAGTCCGGTGACAGGTTGTCAGGGCAAAGAGAAGGCCAGGACAAGGTCGAGCCGCAGCCACGAGGTATATAAGCCTGGCCGTCTCTGCTGCTCCTCACTCTTGACATCCTCAAGGAAACATGAAGACCATTGCTCTCGGTAAGATGGGGATGGCCTCTCTTTCTTTTTTTCAGCTTTGTTTATAATCCTGAATTGCCTTGGTCTGCTTATTCTTTTTCGGTAAAGATGTACGTTGTGATTGTTGCAGATGATTATTTTTGTTTGATCTGTTCTCGCTTTTACCTTTTTTTCTCAGTCGCTTTGCTGTTGGGCGCAGCCGCTGCCGTGCCCGGTCTCCGCCAGCGTCGAGACTCCAACTCGCTCTTCTTCGAACTTCCCGCCGACGCAGATTTGATTCTTGGCGGAATCAACACGGGATTCGAATGCGGCGACCTGCCCTACGGATACTACGCCGACCAGGCTAACAGCTGCGCCGTCTTCCACGTGTGTCTGCCCTACATCGACAACGACCTCTACATCACCCGCCACTTCTCCTTCCTTCCTGTGCGGCGAACACCCGAGGGAGCGAAGCGAGGCCACTTCGAGGAAGGAACTGCTCCGAGAACTTCAGAGTCCAACGAGTACTTCGGCCGCGAGAATGTTAACTTCCTCGAAAAGTAGATTTTCTCATGTTCTTGAGATTCTTCCCCTATTGAGTACAAAATGTTAGGTATAAACCTTTGACATATCATCTTTATACTATGAAAACATATGCGTTAATAAAACAGATACAAGTAAGGCTTCTCTTTTCAATATCTATAACCTGACGAAGAAAAATAAGAAATGAAGACGAGGCCCCTCTTAATCTTATTTTTAAAAAGTACATAAATGTTGTGCAGTGCATGTCAACCCCAACAACTGAATAGCTGTTGCTTTCTCGTTATCATTTCTAATTCTTTAAAATTCCTTGTACAAATGTCAAAGTCCTTGTATCAGTTACAACGTAAACAAATGCTCAGTGATTTAGGATTTTCACCCATGATATTACGCAGTCACTAAAGTCAGTGGTTCCCAGCTGGTGTTACCCAGATCTCTGGGAGATCTGGGTCTCTGAACTAAATTCAGCATTTTAAAGGGGAACAGCTTAAGAAAATGATAACCCACAATTCTGCGGCTGAAGATAACCTTTCGCGATTTTTTTTCTTCTAAGATTTATAATTCATTCAGTTACGCATATGAATCCTTCATTAGGTAAATTAGTAAATTAAGAACAGGTTCCTACTATAGTCAAGAATTTTAAATACTTTGGGTGAATTGAAAATGCGAGCTTTGTACAGCGTCTGGGAACCACTCCTGTATAAATATATAGTATAAAAAAGCGGAACTTTACACCATAATATACATTCTGTGGTGATTCCCAAGTTGTATGGAGAAACTTATTGTTTTGCTCACGCTATATGTCGTAATTCACTAATACAATTTTTTTTTACTAATGTTGATAATTTTCATTATATTCAGAAAAAAAAAGAATTTGACAGGACAAATATGGCTTGGGAAAGTTCGCGAAAACAAACACATTTGTTACGTAAAAAAGACAATACAAGCGAGAACAAATACAAATTAAACATAATATAAATGAACAAATCAAAGTTGAAATCAAACAAAAAACAAAAAAGCGATACTAAAAAACTGAATCTAAGTAACGTAAAACAAAACCTCCATCTTTGAATTACAACCACCTCATGGCCCAAAACATCACTCTACTTCATATCAACGGAGGAAAAAGGTGGGCCTTGCAGTTCACTCCAGAGGCGAAGGCACTAACAAAGCACCTGATAGTATTTCACTGGCGACACCGCGGATGTAAACAAAGACAAACGGGGAAGGCGATTCCTAAACCATTGCTTCTCATTGATGTTAATAATGAATCATTAAGTCTTAAACACTGGACCATTTACAGTGAAAACATGAATGAAATAAATAAAATCACACAGTAATACACACGAACACAGAAGGACAAAAAACATAACTGTATTTATGACAATGAATTGATAGAAAACTTTGCATTAAATAAAACATAAATATATGTAAGTTAGTATATTCATAATAAGAAAACTAGGAAATACGAAAAATAAAAAGGCAATAATGAAGCCAAACAAGGATGAAACCACGTGGTCGCCCTGGCTTCGCGCTCTTTGCGAGGGAAGGCACGCGAAGCTAGGGGGCACTACTACCTTCTACGGGTAACTCTAGTAAAATGCGTCACTGCAACCGTTTTTCCCACATGATACACCAACCATATTTCATATAAATGGTCGAAGGATGAAGTATTCCCGATCACAGACAATGGATAATATATCCTAGTAAAATATTCTTCCATCGATAAAATTATTGTAATACTAGGTGATGACTGTCACACATCCTTAAGGCCGCTTTGACTTCTCATTCCTGAACAGGCGCGATGCCACGGGGGTGTGGGGGGTGCGACACCCCCAAAGGTCACAAATCGTCATTTCACTCAGCAGAATGGAAAAAAATACAGTTTACTCAGCAAACTTGGTGGTCGGCATGATTTAAGAAATCAATGATCATGGTTTGTAACTCTCGAAGTTTTCATTTTCATTTCAAGTTGGTCCTTTTCGAAACGAAATAAAAAGTATGAAGTGGGATTTATTTCAAAATGTTTCTCGGTAACCTTGCTCCCGACACCCCTCAAAAAAGTTTTCTAGCGCCGCCCCTGTTCCTGAAACGTTTTAATTTTTGACCGATTTATTTGAAATTTGATACAGATTGCTAATTCCTTACTTTACATAATGGCATATGCACAAAAGCAAATAAATACATAGACTCATTTCTCTACCACATATGTGGTGTCTGTGATACTTGTTCGTATGTTTTGTTATTTGTAATTCATGATTGGAATCATTGTTATTCACATAATTGTTGAATCTTTGTCAGTGTAATATCATTATGACATTTATTATGATTTGTATGCCGTTTTTTCAACAGATTGTTATTCCCAACATCATTAGTATCATCATTATCATGATCATATTTACTGTTATGGTCCCTCACATTATTTGACCTGTAATAGACCAAAAGCTAAGCCCAGCCGATCGGGGTCTAAGTAGATTCAGTTATAAGTGTAAGTAACAGAGGTCAATGAAGTTTTCTTTGTTGATATATCGCAATTAAATTGCTATATAGCTGATTGTTTCGTACAATCCTCAACCCAGGTGCTACATCATGTAAATCTTAGTTACCACTTTCCAAAGAGGGCTAATGCAGCTTTTAATAGATTTGGGCGTCGCCGTATCGGGACATGGTAGCTTCTTCAAGTGATTATAGTGACGGCGTTTAGAGACATTCTTTGACGAAAGAAATAGTTACCCCAGAACATTACAATAAGGTTAGTCAGTAAAAGCAGTGCAAAACGATTTCGTCAGCTTTTATGTTTTACTCAAGGAAATTGACAGGACGACCGAAGTACTCGTTGGCTCGCCTGTAGTTTGTGGCCTCGTTGCAGGAGATTGAGTTCTCGGGGAAGTCGCACACGAGGCGCTCCTGGTCGAAAACGGTGCCCTCGCCACACAGGAAGGTGAATTGGCGGGTTACATAAATATCGTTCTCGATGTAAGGCAGACACACATGGTACAGGGCGCAGTTGTTGGCCTGGTCGGCGTAGTAGCCGAAGGGAAGCTCCCCGCAGTCGAATCCGGTGTTGATGCCCCCGAGGACCAGGGCGGCGTCGGCGGGGAGTTCGAAGAAGAGAGGACTGGAGTCCCGGCGCTGGCGCTCGCCTGGGTCGGCGGCGGCCACGCTCACCAGAGCAAGGACTGCAAAATTATATATTATGTCATTCATAGTTTACCATTCTAAGATGATCACTCCAATGACGGACAAAGTAAAATGAAATGTAATGTAATGAAAACTAAAAATTGCAGTTGCTGAGTAATTTATTTACGTTAATACCATCAATACCAATGCCGTATTATTATTTTTATCATTATCATTATAGTTGTTGTTTTGTTGTTTTATTAATTGATTAATTCCATATTTTCCCCAAACGTAAATTATGGGTGATATAGATATTTATTATTACAAATCAGAATAATACGAACACATTATTTGCACATAATTAACACGCTAAACATTCGATATTCAGAATGAACTGTTGCAGTGTATTCTATAATAATTATTTTATTATTTTCTTTATATATTTTTAAGCCTTAATTATACTGACCAAGGATATCCCCGTCAGCACGCGGTGAATACATTAGTACCATAAATAAATCTTATTCTTGGCATCACCATTGAACCACCAAGAGTACACGAGTGTTTAAGGATTGCAGTAAATCGAGATGCAACTCACCGAGGGCAAGAGTCTTCATCGTCGTCTGCAGGAGGGAAAGAGACCTTTGTGATGCTTGCAAGTAAGTTTTGGCCTTATATATCAAGCCGTTGCGGCGTCGACCTTGCATATACTTTTCCAGTTTTGTGACAGCTGCCCATGCCCAGAGCCCCCCCCCCCCTGCCATTTTCTCACCGCGCATTTTTGGGTATTTCTTTTTTCTCGCTTCTGTATAGTCACCTCTGTTCTCTTTTTTACATCTACGAATAGGATTTCAAAAAAACAAACAAGTTAGAACGAAGACAAAAGTTGCGGTCTTAAGCACCCTGGCAGCATTGCCTCTTCCGACATGAGTGGGGCGGCCCGTCGCGTTATAACGGGGCTGGGAAAGGAATTGTTGCAGCGTGTACTTAGCAACCTGTTTCATGGGCTCAGGTAACAGCGAGGATCCGATGGGCAGGTGGGAGACCAGCAGCAGACACTGGGGACTGCCATTCCCTTACCGAGCAAGGAACTGAATTTTACTTCTGACGGCTTTAGTGGGTTGGCATTCTATGAGGGCTCTCTCTTGCCTTTTTTGTTCTTGACTAAAGGCAATTGATTATTCTTTTCTCTTTTACTGTTTAAATGTCATATTTCCTTTCATGTGACGGAGCATCACTTTCGTAATTATACGATATTTACTGCTTATTGTATTTCTATTTTGTTTGTTAAATAGTGGTCATCAAAATCATGCAAAGCTGAAATCTATCAGGATTTCGAAACTGATTTACCTTTAATAAACCTATTTTTGGTATAACGGTGTTTCCTACCATCCATGTTTCCCTCGATTATTTTATTTATTTAATTATCTATTTATTTATTGTACATTTGTAATGAATGAGATATCCGAAAGTTATTTAGATATAGTTTAAAATTATCACGCTATTTTATCATCATATCAGCATTACTATCATTGTCGTTGCAATAGCGCTACGTAATAATATCAGGAAGAGTACTGATGACATTATCACTAAATGTGGTTCATCGCATTGACTTGATGGCTGAACCCTCTCAGTGTAAAACAGGTTTACTGAAGGAGTACCTTCCGAAATTCACCTTCGGTTTATATCTCTATATGCTCTGTCCGCTCAGCGCGGTAGGGCATTTCATCAAGTGGAACGGGTTGTACTTCAAGAACTCAAGATTGCTAATCCTCAGAACCATATTCTGAAAACAGAACACCCTTAGTAATAGCCAGCATCTTCGTGGTGTCGGGAGAGCACGAAATATGCGAGTAGCGAAGGGAAGATAAATTCGCCTCTGGACAGTTGAAAATATACGAGCACAGGGTCTTGGAATCTAACTCATAAAGGAAATAAACTAAATACGGTAAGTTGACTATTATATCAGTTTACATGATTTAGAAAAGTGGCTCTTAATCCGGGTTCGATCGAGCCCAAGACAGTGTTTCATTTTTGATTCATCAAATCTAATTTACGTCATATTTTCAGGGCGTGGCAGGTAATGGTTTCTACCATGGCTTGACGCAACGAAATGGGTAAGATTCACTGACAGAAAAAATAATGCAAAGAGAGAGGGAGAGAGATTGAAGATATGAATTTTCTCGTCACTACTTAAGGAAGATCACATTCTCGCGACCAAAGTATCCATTGAACCTTCTGGTGATGGCGGCCTCCGAGCAAGGAAGGGAGATCTCGGGGAAGTCGCATTCGAGGCGCTCCTTGTCGAATAAAGTGCCTTCACCGCACAGGAAGAAGTGGCAGGTGATGCAGATATAGGTATTTGTAAGGTCTTGGCTACGAAAGGAACCTATGGTCTAGGTATGGGCATTAAAAAGAGATGGGCTACTTGTATCTGTTTTAATTAACGTTTTTTTTTTTTATGATGATATGTCAAAGGGTTATACCTAGCATTTTGTACTCAATAGGGGAAGAATCTCAAGAACATGAGAAAATCTACTTTTCGAGGAAGTTAACATTCTCGCGGCCGAAGTACTCGTTGGACCTCCTGAAGTTGGCGGCCTCGGAGCAGGGAAGGGAGTTCTCGGGGAAGTCGCACACGAGGCGCTCCTGGTCGAACATGGTGCCTTCGCCGCACAGGAAGGAGAAGTGGCGGGTGATGTAGAGGTCGTTGTCGATGTAGGGCAGACACACGTGGAAGACGGCGCAGCTGTTAGCCTGGTCGGCGTAGTATCCGTAGGGCAGGTCGCCGCATTCGAATCCCGTGTTGATTCCGCCAAGAATCAAATCTGCGTCGGCGGGAAGTTCGAAGAAGAGCGAGTTGGAGTCTCGACGCTGGCGGAGACCGGGCACGGCGGCAGCCACGCCCAGGAACAAGCAGACTGCAAACAGTACAAAGGAAGTGCATCATGATTGGTTTCACTTGTTATATTTTGCTTATTATTGTTATTTTATTGTCAATTGTATCGCCATTATCACCATATCAAATTAACAGCTTTTAGAAAGGCGAAGAAAATCATGTGGCGAACCCGTGACTGAGCTTAATCTCTTTAGTATTATGGAAATAGTATTCATTAATGCGACTATATCCTCCACAACAGTAACAAAGAACCATCGATCAATGTATCCTTACTAAGAGCCAGCGTCTTCATGTTGTCGGGAGAGCACGAAA